GCCCAAATTGGTCTCAGACCTACTGTGTAGCCCAGACTGGCTTTGAACTCACAGTAATCATCCCTCCTTGGCCTCTCAAATGGGATTCATGTGTGAACCCCATGCTCAGCTTTTAAAATCCACACTTTAAACTCCTTTCCTGGGCAATTTTTATATACGTCATAAATTAGAAAATTGGGTCGGGCGTGGTGGCACCCGCCTTTAATCCCAGCACTCAGGAGGCAGAGACAGGCAGATCTCTGTGAGCACAAGGCCAGCCTGGCTTACATAGTGAGTTCCAGGCCAGCTGGGGCCACAGGGAGACCCTGTCTCAAAATGACCAAAAAAAAAAAAAAAAAAAAATCTGGAATTCCAAATCAGGAAATCAGGTTGACTACATTTGGATGCTTGTCTTCTGATGAACAGTATATTTATTAGAACTGATCAATGACAGAAAAGATCAGGCTCACTGGGTCAATTCTGTTCTCCAAACATTGGCTTAAAACACCCCAGAAAGACACAGCCATGCTCAAGGTCTCTGAAGTACTCAGTGACGTTTAAAGAATACACAAATCCTGCTTAGGGAGCAGAACCCAAGTTCAAACACACTGCTTAGTGGTACCAAAAGTAATCACTGTTCCCATAGGCATGCCTCGCTTGTTTACAGCTGCGTCCAACAGACGCCCACAGTCGGTTGCATGACTCCCTCTGTACCCTTAGCCCAGTGCCTGTTCCTGAGTCCACCCAGCCATTCACTGATAATAGTGGCCATTTGTACTTAGGAATGTTTTCAATTAAGACTGCCATATACAGAGAGGTTAAATTGTGTTTTCTTTGGAAGGAACCATTCCTTTTTTTAAGTCAATAAATTTTTAGTTAAGGGATATGGCTACCTTCAAAGCTGAAGTTGAAGACTTCAAGACAGCCTTTCAAATAGAACAGATGCTTAATCCAGGTGTGCAGTCGGCCCATGTTTCTCTTGTTTGAGCATGAATGAAGAGCATATTCATGACCTCAGCATTCTCTGTCTACGATCCCACACACGTAAGAGGAAATGTGAAACTCCTGACGCTCAGAGTGACAGACCATACTGATAATAAGGTTCTACCTGAACACGGGCCTGGAGTTGGAGACGTCAATCTTGGTGTGAGTGAATGACTTGTTCCAATGTAGCCCTGGCATACCCTACAGACCTGTAGAATTACTGAGTGGGAGAGGGTAGGAACGAGTGTGGTCTATATGCCTCCATTTTAAGAGAGGTGGGGTGTCAGCAGTTGAGGGGCTGATCGTCTATCCTAAAATGGACCAAGAAGCAAATTGCTTCAGGACCCATTCCTACCTGTTGATGTGAAAAAATGCAAGCCGCTCCCACTAGGGAGGGTGCCTCAGTACCTCTCCCTGGAAGATAAGCTCTGGGCTTCACCTGATAAGATGACGGGGTGCCCTCAGGTGTCTGAATGCCCTGCTCAGTGAAGTTTAGAGAGTGCAAGCAGCCTGCTTAGGGAGCAGGGGAACCAAAAAACCAGTAAACAGCATCATGAGAAAGAGTGGGAACAGGGAAGAATTCACCCCCCTCCAAGAATGGGGTGCTGGAGACCTCAGCAGGGCAGTGAGTGGGCAGGCCGTGTGAGATCTCCGGGCCAAACCCGGGGATGCTTGGCTTCTGCTGTGCTCTAGATGTGATTGCCGCATTGGACAAATCACTTAACTTCTCTGGGGTTTGGGTCACACAGTCCCATAAGGATTGGTGCTTCCATGGGTCCTGCTATGTAGGGATGTGTGCTAGGACCCATGGAAGCTACAAAATCACCCAGGGCAGATCCCAGTCCAAAGAGGAAACCGGGGCCTCTGCAGCCTTCTCTTCCCTTGTTCCACATACTGGGTCCCTTCCCAGAGCCAGCTCAAGGGATGCAGCTTACTGACCCCCACCTCCTCCCTGTTCAGAACATCAGTTTTGAATCCAAGATGCTTAGTGAGACAACCCCGAAGGACAATCTAAAGACAGCACAGCACCCTGGGGAGCCACATCATGCAGTGTCAGCCAGAGTACAGGAAGTACAGCAGTGTTTGGAACAATCAGACTTCACATAATACCTTTAACATTATACAAGGTAGAATGTTCTAGGCCCCTTGAGGCTCTTAGGGACCTTTTGTGGTGGAAGGGTAAAAAACGTGCAAAGGGGCCTGAGGAGTGGGCGCTTAAACTAGATGTGGATGGACAGACGCTGCTATCTGAATGTAGGCAAAGACTCGGGAGGTGGAACTAAGCCAAGTGGACAAGGGAAATGAAAGGATGGAAGAGTCCCAGAGATGCTTCACAGCTTTCATGACAGGTCCAGGACACAGTACGTGAGGCAGAAATGTTCCCTGTCCTGTGAGCTCACAGGTCAGTGACAAAAGAACAGAGAGGCAAAGAAAGTCAGCACAGGGCACCACTGGTAGTGGGGAGACGTGGGGGATGGGATAGAATCGAGGAGACAAGGTATAAAGATGTCAGGGGTCAGTCAGGACCTCTCTAAGAAGCTGGGCGTGTTTAAGGAACTAAGAAGATATCCTGTGACTAGAGGTCAGGAGGAAAGAAGCCACAATGAGTCCAAAGGGCCTGGAAAGGGTGAGTTCGCCAGGGTCTCATTAGCAGTGGTGTACTAGTAACCTCTCTTGTTGTTGTGCTCAAATACCTAACAAGAAGTGAGTTAAAGGAGGAGGAAGGGTTCCCTTCTGGCTCACGGTGTGAGGGGATACAGTCCTTCATAGCAAGGAAGGCAGGTGGCAAGAGTGTGAGGTGGCTTGTCACCTTGCATCTGCAGTCAGGAAGCTGAGAGGTTACCGCTGGTGCTCAGCTCCCTTCCTCTGAATTCAGTTTGGGACCCTAGCCCACGTGATGATGCAACCCACATTTAAGGTGGGTCTTCCCACTTCAATTATCCTTGTCTAGATAATGCCCAGAGGACTGTCCCCTAAGTGATTCTAGATCCTGTCAAGTTGGTAATGAAGTTTAACCATCACTAGTGGTATGGACTTTGGGTTTTATTCTGGACTCCAAATGGAGAGGCAGGGTTTGAAGCCACAGAGTGGACACAGTATGCTTTTAAAGGTCGCTATTTCAGTAGTATAAACGGATTGTCAGCTGTCACCGCATAACAGATCAAATTATCTCAAATACAGACATTTGAAACAACACACAGGAGGGCTGGAGAAATGGCTCAGGGTTAAAAGCACTGGCCGCTCTTGCAGACGACCTGGGTTCGGTTCCCAGCACCCACATGGCATCTTACCTCAATTTGTACCTAAAGTTAATTAAGCTGGGTTGTTTTGGACAAGTCATAAAAACTCTCTTTAACCTCAGTTTACTCATGTATATAATACCGAAGGATTCTAGCCAGATGTAAATGGCACCATGCCTATGAAGTGTCCATTCTGGAGCCCAGGAGGAGAGAAGAAAGCTACAAATGGATGTCAGTATTGTAAGGGTGGACTCTGGTCAGCAAGCCCATTAGAGAGTCTCATTGAGCAGAACACCCAGAGCTTGCCAGGGACACTGGTATGTCATGTCAGATGGTTGGCACATGTTCTCCTGGGAAGGAGTGTCTGTATGGGAAGATGGAGTGCTGATGGGGTATTTTGAGATGGAAGAAGGGCAGAGGGAAGGATGAGCGTCTCTGGGCATTGCAGCTGTAAAGGGCAGACTGTGAAGGCTCTACTCAAGCTGTCCTCCGTGGTTCAGGGCAGAGATGTGAGCAGTGCTCAGGTGATCGCTGCGAGAGCCTCGGTAGCCTTGTATCCTAAGGTGAGTCATGACACACCCGACTCAGCTATGTTTGGGCTGCAAGGGTGAGGATGCGGCCCCTTTGCCGTGGTTGGATGTTGGTGTTTGCCAGGTGCTGACACCGGGTCCCTGTTGGTCAAGGTGTATGCTCATTGATTCCAATGGCTGGATCAATACATGCATTTTGTAGAAGAGTTCGGTGTTACATTTTCTAACTACACAATAATAAGCTGGTTTCACAGATGAGACCTGGCCAGGGATGTCTACCTGAGGATGGAGGCAGAGTCTAGACTTTGGGTTTGGATCCTTGTCCACGCCCCACCTCACACACTTTTTACACCCCTCCTTTTATTTATTATTTTTATTTTATGTGTATGAGTGTATCGCCTGCATGTGGGTAAGTGCACCGGTGCTGTTCAATACCTGTGGAGGTCAGAAGAAGGCATCAGATTCCCTGGAACTGGAGTTACAGACAGTTGTTAGCTGCCATGTGGGTGCTAGGAATCGAACCTGGATTCTCTTCAAGAGCAATCAGTACTCTTAACTGCTGAGCCATCTCTCCAGCCCCATATGCTTCCCTTTTATAAACAAAATTAGAGACAGGGTCTCATATGAGCCCAGTAGCCCAGGCTGGCCTATGACTATGTAACCCAGGCTGGCCTGAACCCAGCAGCCTTCCAGCCTCAGCCTCTTGAGTGCTGGGATTACAGGAGTGAGCCATCACACCCAGCTTCAAAGAGCCCTTTTAAATGGAATGTTTTTGTCTGTCAGACCCACCCACACTTTGAAAGCTCGATGTATAATCAAATCCACCAAAAGAAAGTTGAAAAGACAAACAAAAACTGTGCTTTTCCCCAGCATTGCGAGACCTCTGTCCAAACAAGCCCTTGAGAGCTGGTACCCAGCAGCTCTCTCCAGCTCAGCTCCTACCAGCCAAGAGCTGCGCCCCCCACCCCCCATCGTTGGCACAACACGTCCCTTCTCAAGTCCCAAAAGGCTGCAAGGGCCCTTCCTGTGTGCGCTGAGGTATCCTCCAACCTCCACCCTCCACTCTGCTCTCACTCGCCGGGTCCTCTGATGACTCTGATGACTCCCAGGCCGCGCCACCAGCTCGCGCTCTGGAGCTCGGCGATCAGCTGGAGGCAGGCACCAGGCTCAGGGAGTCTGGCCCAGCACCGAGCAGCAGCTGTCTGTACCCGCCCTCCGGGTCCCTCCCGGTCCCTCCCCGCGCGTGACGCGCCAGCCCTGGTGCGCTCCTCCCCACCGCCCGCTCCACCGAGCGCCCGCTGCCCCGCAACTTCACCCTGCGCCTCGGCTGCTGCTGTGGGGACACGACTGTCACCTGCGGCCCTTTCCCGCTCTGCCCCGGACAGCGAGCGCCGCAGGCTGTCAGCGGAGCCGGGGGTGCCGAGCAGTGCGCGGGCGCGCGTGGGTGCGGAGATGGCGCGTGCCACCCTGCGCTGAGCGTCCCGGGCACAAGGAGGGTCTCTGCAGGTAGGTGCGCGCTGTCGGTGCCTCCCCTCTGCGCCTGCTTCTGCGTTCACCCGGGTGAGGTCCGGTGCCAACGGGTGTCCTGGACTGGAGCGCGTTAAAGAGCCCTTGGGCGTCTGGGCTTCCTCCGCCGTGGAGAATCGGGGCGTCTGATGCCCGCGGAGAGGAGAGGGAAGTTGCTGAGCCACAGGGGCCACGCACTTTGCGCTGGCAGAACCCAAGGGTGTCCGGAGTGCAGAGGGACGGGCTGAGATTAGAGCCCCTGGCCGGGGCTGGGGCACGGCCAGGACTGGGTCGCGGTGGCCTGGGAGGTGGAGGTGGCGCCGGGGTGTGAGCGCCTTGCGAGCGGGGTCCTGGGCGAACCCCCGGCGACCGAACGATTTCGGGGCACCCGGGTGCGATGGGAGATCCTGCTGGGAGGAAGGATCGCGGGCTCCAGCCGCTTGGACCACCTCCAGGCTGGGCAGTGGGGCTTGGCTTGAACCCAGCCCCTCCAAATGGGGCGGTGCAGCCGGGTCGTGAGAATGGAGAACAGGGTTAAGCAAGGAGAAATGTTTTGCTTTGATACCGACTCGTGTCTGGAAAGATGGGGGTAGGGGACCACACCTGGGGGACAGGCGTGTGGAAGGGCGCCGGAGAAGCTGGGCTTCCGTAGCTCTGTTACCGGAGGCTGTAATCTAGCTTCCTCCCAAGGGGTGGGGGACTGTGCTACAGGCCCCTCCGATTAGAAGAGAGCAGGTGCTGAAATTCACCGAGCACACCCAGGTGTGAGGGAGGCTGGACTTGAGAAAGTGACAGCTCCCTCCGGAGCCGGAGAACGAGGGGAAAGCCGGCTGGCTTTGTGGGGTGGGGGTGGGGCAAAGCGAGCTCCGCAGCCTCTGGGCTCTTGTCTCGGGACATCTATATGTTGCAGGGGTGACAGGGATGTCAGCATTCTACGGGGAAAACTATGTGGTTGTCTTAGAAACACATGGGGCCGGAAACACACCCTCCCGGCACCCTGCTTTCTACACAAGTGTGAGCACCAGCCCCATTGTTTCCTGACAGTCATTTCATCTTTTTTGTTTTTTCAAATCACGTTTGCTGGCTTCTCCTTCCCACCCACACCCCAGGATTCCTTCTTTATCTCTTGGTTTAGGAGCAGCCTCGAGTCTCCCATTCAGTAGGTTTAGCACCACGGAAGTCTTCCAGTTGAAGTCTTCTAGCTGCAGTCACCCCAGTGGAGGTCGGCCCAGCACTCACTCCCTCAGAGAACCAGGGTCCTCACTGTGAGTCTCCAGCAATTCACTGTATAGCGTCTAGTAGCCATCTCCCTCTATGGGAACAAATTGCAGGGGTGTGACTCCTTGGAGTGAGAGAAGAGCCTCCCCCTCCAGCCTTCAGCAGCCCCATCAATGGAGTACACAGCCAAAAGATTTTTTTCTGCCCTAGAAGTTAATACACTTGCTTGTCCAAAAGTTGACTGTAGCCACACATCTGTAGAGCGCTGGAGAAATCTGTTTAGTCAAAGCATACTGCATGTGTTGCTTTTCCAAAGGACCTCTGATCACTGTCGCTTCCCTCTTCCTCTGACCCGCTGATGTGAGATTTTTGCTCTGAATATTTTAGCCTCTGTATAGACATAAAGAAATGCCAAGCCAGAAAGAGAGAAAACCAAGGGCCTGCCTAGAATTCTGATTACCCAAATGAAAGCTCCAGAAATGGTCCCTTCCCTTATTAATTACAGAATAGAGTTATTTCCAGCAGAGGAGGGACCTGTCCCATTTCAAGGGTAACCTGGAGAAGTCAAGGGGTCCCTGGAGGAAGTTTCTGTGCATCTGAATCATGGGAGCTATGCCTATATAAGCATTTCATAATTAGTCCTTGGAGGGGACCGTGCCAGGGAACCATCCCTACTCAGAGTGAACCACAGACCAGCTGTGATACCCCCAGCATGCCTCCTCCTAGATGTAACTAAGCCCCTTCTGTTGTATTCTGTATGTATATATGTGTGTGTGCATGTGTGTGCGCCTGTATATGTGGTCCTGTGTACAGGTGTGCACATGCATGTGGAGGCCAGAGGTCAGCATCAGTATCCTCTTCTGTCACTCTTCACCTTATGTTTTTTGAGACAAGGTCTCTAACTAAACCTGGGCTCACTGCCTCAGTAAGACCTAGCTGGCCAGGAGCTGGAGAGATGGCTCAGCAGTTAAGAACACTGACTGCTCTTGCAGAGGACCCAGGTTTGATTCCCAGCACCCACATGGCACTACAACCTGTCCTTAATTCCAAGGAAATCTGAAGCTCTCTTCTAACTTCTGAGGCATTGCACAACATGGGTCTACTCACATACATGCAGGCAATACACTCATACACATAAGATAATAAAATATTTTTAAAAGAAAAGAAAATATACCTTTCAAAAAAAAAAAAAAAAAACTAGCTGGCCAGGCAGCGCCAGGAACCCTCCTGTCTCTGCTCCTCCAGCCTTGGATCACAGGCATGTACCACCACACCCAGCTTTTTACATGTGTGCTGGGGATCAAACTCAGGTCCTCCTGCTTGTGTGGCAAGTACTTTGCTGACTAAACCATCCCCCGCCCCAGTTCCTGTCTATTATGTTTTGAGTTCATGATATTAGCCTGCTTCTGTTAAGAGACCCAAACATAGACAAGGGTAGCTGTGGGGTGTAGACAGTACAACTTTTGGATTTCATGTTCAATGGTGAGTATGCAAACAAAAGTCCCTTGGGTTGAAGAGTTTGCAAACAAGTGCTTTATTTTATCAGCCTGCATTCAATGGGTTGGAAAAAATTAAAAAGCTCTTATTTTTATACTGGAAAGAAGTAAGCCATCTAAAACCAGCCTCTTGCTTCCTTGAGGGGAAGTAGGGTGGAAATGAACATCTTTTTAAGTGCACAGTGGGTGCTCCTCCTCGGGCAATGGCAGACTCAACTTTCCATCTGGGCTTCCTGTGGCCGGGTGGCTCTGAGCAGGGCTTCAAGCTTGCAGACAGATCTTCCTGGGCTTATTCTCTCCTCTACCAATGGAAGCTGGAGGGGTGGGGGGTAGACAGCTTGTGTTTGTGGCTATTCAACCAGAAAAGAATACCAGCTGAAATCAGACAATAGGGCAAGAGAAATGGGTGGGGGTGGGGAGGGGAGGCACCGATATGCCAACCCACAGCAAGTAATTGGTTCCCCAAAGACAAACTGAGCTGTGGAATGGTGTCTTAGAGCAGTTGTCAAGTAAACAGCCCACAATGTGAATATTAGGAAGATTTGTTCCGAAAAGGGAAAGGCTGGGGAGGCTGCACCTAGCCATCCCAGTGGAGTCCTGCTTTGAGCCTGTCGAATCACATTCAGTTTCTCAAAACAGCATCCTCCCTCTGAAAATGAAAACCTCACTGTTATGGGCATGGAAGCCTTCATGAAGTCCATGGAATAGACCCACTCAGTTCATCCTGTGTTGAATGAACTGATTCAGAAACACCCACGAGTTGAGGTCCCTCCTCTGCACCTCCGCTCTCTGAAGCTGCAGGCTTCCTTTCCGGACCAATGGTCCAGGGTTTTGCTTGGTTTGGTCATCATGAGCTCATCTCACCTGGGTTGAAAACATTCCCTGAAAATAATAGGTGTTTCTCTGCGTGTAGCAGCCATCTGGAAAAGACGCTCACGTGGCTCCTCGTAGGTCCGCCACCCTTCAAAGGCAAGCCAGAGCACCATGAGAGAGAAACCGGTCCGGCTTATTTATCGTTCTTTACTTTCCCGACACTGATGGGCACCATGGGGTGATGTAGCAGCCATCTGGAAAAGACGCTCACGTGGCTCCTCGTAGGTCTGCCACCCTTCAAAGGCAAGCCAGAGCACCATGAGAGAGAAACCGGTCTGGCTTATTTATCGTTCTTTACTTTCCCGACACTGATGGGCACCATGGGGTGAAATGTGTACGCCATCACGTGTTCATTATGCTAATTTAAAAGGAAATTAGAATTTTTTCAACAATGGAAGAAAATGAGATTTAGTTTTTCTATCTTGCCTTCCATAAAACCAAAATGAGCTCCCAGCCAGACCAAGGAGAGAGCCTTAAACAAAGGGAATGTTTCTTCATGCTTCTTTAAAACAGCTTAAATATTTTTACATTGTTATATAATCTGTATATATAAACTGATTAACAATCCCTTGTAACTCTGAGGTGGATGTGAAGTCCAAGCCTACAGTGTTATTTAAAGGAACACTACATTTTGGGGGGCTTGGGGGGGTTGTTTGTTTGGGGGGTGTTTTTTTGTTCAGCTTATACATATATTCCCTGAGCAAGTATTTGGAGATCTGGCCAGAGTTAGAGTTCTCATTCAATCTAAAAGCATAAGAAAGACTACAGATAGGTTTAGCAGTTAAGAATACTCTTGCAGAGGACCCAGGTTCAGTTCCCACCACCCACAATAGGTGGCCCAAAACCACATATAACTTCGTTCTAGGGCATCTGACATCCTCTTCTGGCCTCTGTGGGCATAAGGTATGCATGTGATGCACATACATATATGCACGCACTCACATATAAGCGTAAGATATGGATTATACCATCCAGCAAGTACCATCTAGTAGAAAGGAAGAAACAGCTGTATTGTGGGCAACCACAGGTCCTGCTTTGTCCCATGTGTTAGCTCTTTGTCATGATAACAAAATACCTGATGCAGGGTGCTTATGAAGTAAAGAGACATCTCTTAGGACAGATGAATGGAAAGGGAAAGGAGGCTTACCAGACAGGAAGACCAGGAGCTCCCTGTAGACTCAGGGGGCTGTTTTGTTCATTTCTCTGCCTGGTGCCTAGCCAATAGTAAACGTCCAACATTAATGAAGTCTGTGAACCTAAATTTGAGAGCAAGTCTGAAGATAGTGAAGGTTAGAGCAGTGAAAAGTCAGGACTGGCAGGAAGGTCTCATGGGAACGGTTGTGAGATAGTTAAGGATGGTGATATCAGAACAAGGCTGGGTCACGGCCATGGCACCAAACACCCTAGTATAGG